TATATATATATATATATATATATATATATATATATATGTGTGTGTGTGTGGGTGTGCGTGTGTGTGTGTGTGTGTGTGTGTGTGTGTGTGTGTGTGTGTGTGTGTGTGTGTGTGTGTAAATATATATGTATATATATTTAAGTGTATGTGTGTTTATATGTTTACTAACTTTACGTTTGTGCTCTATATACATTATTATACTCAACTAGTATGAACCAACCATTTTGATAATTGAGAAAGAAATATTTCTTACACAACTATATATCTGTCCACACAGTACCTCTTTCTTATCGATGTTAAATCTCCATGTATCCTTACGATAGTCGGAACCGACATCTTTGTCATGGTGGTGGTATTTGTACCCATGAGTTATAAATAGATTCTTATTCGCAACCACCGCCGCATGATCGTAGCGTACCGATGGTATGCCGGCAGGGGGATTGGGGCTTCCTGATGTGGGAGGTATGTTGGCAAATAATTCAGCCCATATAACAGACTCGCCCATGGACATGGCGAGATATGTTGAAGTTAGTAGGAATACGACTCCAATACGTAAGGAACTTTTGTTTATTCTTATTAAATATGGATGATAGAACATGTATATATGTATATATATCTATACAAAAAGAAAACCCCCCGACCATATTCAACAAGGTCTATGTTACTGATCTGTGTCGATATAGATTCTGCCGACCTAGGGTTTCTAGGGTTATTTATATATCCGTCGATGCGTCGATATATTCAACGCGAATATATATTTTATCGTATACACAATATGCATATAAGTTACCGACTGCACAGAAAAGTGGGGCCACTTCACATTACATAAGTGTATTTGAATAGTATACTGTACCTTTGAAGTGATGACGCAACAGAAAGGGCCTCGGTGGGTTGGTTTCTTGGTATGTACGTCAATCTCAACACTTGAGAATAGATGGCTGTGTATTCGCAATCTTCTGCTTTGCGTGCAGCCTGTGAAAGTTTGCATATCGATTTAATTAAAAAGAATATTACAGTGGATAAACCGCGCTATACTACTGCTTGGAATATATGTATTCTTTCCTCGAACATGTTTCAAATATTCTTTGTATATCGATTTTCGAGGAAAAGTCACTGTAAAATGTTGGTATATGTGTGAGTGTGTGTACGTGTTTACGTGCTTACGTATATAGCTGATTCTAGAGACTTACTTAGCTGTATTTTCACGACGTGAATAATCAACTTAAAAAATCTCGTTAAGGATGGTATAACACCTATCCTTCGAATTATGGTCTTTGCTGAATGTGTCGATATGAGTGAAGATCAATTAGTGTTCTCTGTCGTGCAGAACACTAAGTAAAACAGACTCATGACCAGTTTGTGTATCATTCGAGGTTGCTTTCGCACGTCGAATTATACTGAGGCTCGGTGGTGTATTACGGGTACGATAAGGGTACTGTCGATATACAGGATTACAATGCTATCTAGTGGGTCTCCGATTAGATATCTACGAGAAATTTGTAAATGTATATCAATTGCTATGTTGTGAGTGGCTTGCTTTGTCTAAGCCATACTTTAAATGCGAATATTTTGTGAAGCTATACAGCTCATCAACGCTCACTTAGTAAATTCAACATACCTGTACGAGTCGCAACTATACAAGGCCTGATTAGCCACACCCAGTTTTATTTCGGTACAGTGGTTTTGTACAATTATTGGTCACCTTCATCTGGCGTGCAAGTAGCACAGGGGGATAAGACGAATATTGTGCGCATCATCTCCGCGATACATGAACCATTGTATCATGTTCAAAATGCCCGCTACCCACAAACACGTATACACTAGTGCATCTAAGTATTGCTCATTTACTTCTGCGGCCTTCATTCTCGTAGATACTTTATTCGATATTTCTAAGGTGTTGCTGGTCTATTTTGATTGTTCAGACGCTGTTTGGTGTTGGACTTTCAAAGCGGCCACGCACTCGTTTGTTACGTGTGTGCTCACCAATTCATGGCAGAGCCTGTTTTGATAACGCATTGGTATCGTACACATATGCATCTTTAACTATGTATCTCTTGATACACAGTGTGTAGTATAGATTTTTGCACCAGTAACCTCTATTTTGCAGAGGTTTGCGCCACTGTATTTAGTCAGTCTCGGAACGGTTAGATTAAAATATTATTGATCGTTGAAAGTTTGTACAGCTATCACGTGATTGGAGCCGCTAGAATTCAGAATATGGGGTTTGGGTTATGTATATTAGACAAAAGGTTGTCTGACCTATCGTGTGACTTATTGACGTGCTCTGCCGCAATGAAATCTGTGATGGAATGGAATGAGCACCTGGCTCTTGCGAATACGTGTCCAAGACAGCAACTTAACACAGCAATATACTTTTAGAACACTTTTAATAGCTCTCGTTTGAAAAAATATAGGACCATCAAATCCCATGACATAGGCGTACCAAATCAATGACATCTCTGAACACTTTTTATATCACGCAGATGGGCTGTGCGATTGGCGGCATGACGGGGGTATACCTGTCACAGAATCATCAGGTACGCACGATTCACCTAAATTCGACCGCTTTCGCTCTTAATTTAGTTTTCTATTGTGTATCGGTATTGATACGCACTATAGTTAATGCATAGATTGCAATTGATTCAACTGGAAGTGTATAGCTGCCACTTTTCTTTATAATCTTGTTGTTTAAGTAGACTGGTGCATTGTGCTCTGGTTTTGACTGAATTGTTGGTCATATTCTGCTTTGTGTACAATCTCTGCAATGTATAGTAGTGATCAGCGCTAGATGAAGGCATAGCTGCGCTTGGTCAAACTATATATATATGTCTGCCACTATTGTAGTAGTTGTCTCAAGTGGACTGTTGCAATATGTTTTGCAATTGACAATTAATGCTCTTACTTTGCTTTTGCTTTGGGCACAGTCTTCATAGTGTATAGTAGCGATAAACACTACAAGGAATGTACAGCTTGCGCTTGGTCTCAGTGTAGATGTCAACCTGCCGCCGTATTGTTTGCTCTGCTGTCCTTAGTGGACTTGTGCATTGTGTTCAGCATTAAACTTATTTTTGCTCATCAAACGGTCACCTCTCCACATGATTGCCCCTAACCCTGCGCGCCGCTTAGTGAGCTGTATAACATTAGTTGTCTGTATTCTCGTCCCATTGGAGTTCGATAACTTTTCTCTAGTTCTACAACTAGTACACAACTAGCTGCTTAGTTTTGATCCTTGTGAGATTTTATGAACATAGAATGACTCTAGATTTATTTAAAAATAAGACGGTACTTATCTATCTTATTTCCATGTCACTCGACTCCGTACATTTTCATGGTCGGTTTTGGATAAGTCCATTGCGTTGGGACTTATATACTGAATGTGTACGGCTGAACGTGTACATTTAAATCTCCACTACATAGGTACCAAACATCAGACAAGCGTACGACGAATTCATGGACAAGATCAATGCTTCAGCGGGCAGGCACAGCAACAAATAATTCCGCGCACGCAGATGTCCGTATCACATGCCGTGCAATCGGGAGTTGTCTCAAATGCGATTCCGAGGGACTGTTTTATGTAGCGTCGTCTGTGCTCAGCCGTAGTTTTTAATTTTGTGGACATACTTATGGCTGATCATTCAAAACGCCCCACTGACTGGGAAGCCGCCCAAGCTCCCAGATCAATTCTTTCTCATGAGATGCTTCTGTATCATCACACAACCATGCCGTTATTGTCAGGCAAGGGCTCATACATTGAGTAGGAGATTGATATACAATACTACAAATCATATACACGCGAGAGTCTGCATTTTATTGTCTGTTAATGTAATGATTAACTTTCATGACTATTAAGGGATACGCGCAGTGGCGAAGACCAGACGAAAAGCCTTTTTGATGTGCCCTATAATCAATAAATACATACATGCATTTGAACTGTTGCCAACGTGATCTTGCCCAAGTCAGTATCTTGATTGTCATTCATTGTATATTGGTCACCTTGCAACTTCATTCTTTATCGTACGGTAGTTCTCGAAATAGGCCTTGTCGTATGAGTGCGTGAACAGACACGCGGAATCCTGATACCATTGCAAATTGGCGAAGCATATGGGGTTATGCAGAAGAATTTACCGTATACACACAGACTAGACTAGCCCATACACACGGATTTTAATAAACGATAGATTCAAATATAGCATACACCGATAAATATCGCTCGTATGTGATTATATCAAATTGGGCTTCGCAACCATAATATCATGCCGGCAGCCGGTATGGAAAATTATACCACTTTCGAGACACAATACGTATTATCTGCTAGTGTATGAATGTGTACATCTATCAGCGTAGAAGGATGGTATAACGTCCAGTCTAAAATTCTAAATATTCATTTTTGTTCTTCCCTAGAGTGTGTACTTTTTGCACTTTATGTGTTGAATATCGTATGTTGATAGGTATTAAGAGTATATTTACGTAAATATCATTTAGATCTCGAGTTCTTTGTCTACTACAATAACAACATACATAAGTATCTAAATAAAATAGAGATAAATAGAGCGACAAGACTAGAGACGAGGGCTAAAAATATGACTACAGCGGGCGTGCAGAACATATAGACTCTACTGCGTACTTGAAAAACTGTGAATTGCTGACACAGGCACGCAAGACGCAGACACTCAACTCATTGCTACCAATCCAGCCGAGCGATTTGCGACCAGAGACAAAGGTAAACAAATATTTACGTGTGTCTATAGGCTATACTATGTCTATAATATGAAGTCTATATAACTGGCAGACGCTAGCCTTCTTCTTGTAATATTTAGGCAAAACTCAAAACTGGACCTTAATATTTTTTTGTTTTGTTTTTTAAAAAACAAATGAAAATAATAATAAAATATAATTTATTATCAAACAAAAAGACGCGCATTTTGGGGTGTTTGGGGGGGGGGGGGCTATTTTTCTTGTTAATTTTTTATAAAAAAGCTCCTTTTTTATTTTCCTTTTTTAAAAACAAATATAAATAGACAAAAAAAGCTTATCGCCGAAAAATCACGTGGACGATTGAACAGCTTTTCGTCATGGTAAAAAATATATACAACATACCGACATAGTAAAAAAAAATTCATCAAAGTTGGAATCAGCGTCATTTGCGAGGGGAAGTGCACGGGGGTTACTATTTTCAGAAGACAACGAAAGAGGCAAAGAACACGGACAGCACAACTAAATATTAGACGGTACCCACAGAGCAACCATGTCGAAGAGAAGCGGTGTCAAATCGGCACCTAAGAATATTACAAACAAGCCCACATTCACCTGCGACTCGCTATTAGACAAGGCCGAGGAGTGTGTTTCCAATCTACAGTATGATCTCGCTCAGAAGTTCTGTGAGCGGGCACTGACAGCAGATGGTAACAGCACACGTGGTTTAGAAATTATGGCGACGATATTGCTGGAACAAGACGACCCAGAAAATGCGCATCCAGTAAGTGTGTATGTTCAAATATCTCCGAAGATAGTCATAGATCAAGTTCGCGTGTTCTTTTATTATTCATATAAACATATAAAAGCTATGTGGGTGTTTTGTTTCTTCATTGATAAACGATCGATTGCACCTCTGAATATAATTTGTAATGCCAAGAATGGATAGCTATTTGACCAGTATTACGAATGGAAAATTGGGCCACTTAAATCGAGAAAAAAACGATAGTATATATTATAATATATATATATATATATATATATATATATATATATATATATATATATATATATTATTATTTATTATTTATTATTNTTATATATATATATATGTAGTTGTTGTAGTGTTGTAGT